GCAGGGGGGTTGGACTAGATGACCCACAGAGGTCCCTTCCAACCCCTACCATTCTGTGGTTCTGTGAAGGCTGCTTTCATGATGAGTCACAATTCTCAATCATGTCCCTTAACTGATCATCAACAATTACTACACCAGAAAGTTCAGGGATATTCTATGACAGCTGTCAACAAACATTGCCAAACAAGGGGTTTACAAACAGTCAATGAATATCAACCATCATCAGCAAGCTGTTCACAAGATGCCACTGCCAGAAGCTACCTTGTCAGACAGCTTTACATTGTCATTCTTCCAGAACTAAATTAACTTTGTTGAAATACACGTGGAAACATCTGAAAACTGACCCATAAGTCTTAAAAAAACAAACAAACAAAAAACCCCCAACCACCAAAACATCACAAAACAGAAACTAGCTTTAAGTTTATGTAATATGCAAGCTGAAGTGAAAACAAACTGTAATGGCCTAAAGCCAGAAGTACTCATTTGGGGAGAATATGTTCAAGTGATTCCCAAGGTAAACATTCTCCCTTGTTTTAAAGCATTTTTCTTCAAGTAATAAACACAGTAGAAAAAAAAACTTCTGCAACTACACTGCCCTAAAGTCTAGCAGTTGAAATCATTTCATGATTTGATAAAGCAAGTTACTGGGCATGTTACAGCACGAAATTATATTCACAACAAGCGATTCAAGATCGGCACGTTCAGACACAGAAGTTTAGTCCTGCAATGAAATACACAATTTCTACAAAATCTCAAATTCGCAAGAGTTAAATTAGCCAGTCTCTACTTCTATGCTGTAGTAGACTGTCACCAGCTTGCAATCCTCAACCCAAGTAACTCACAAGAGTGCCGGAAAAAAAAAAAAAAAAAGAAAAAAAAGAGGGGGAGAAAGAGAGAGATCACAACTGTTGGTGCATGAAATCACACATTCTTGCTGATAATTAAGAGGTTTGGATATGGAAGGTGCAGATACCGGAAAGGAGAACAAGCAATTAAGACACTTGCCTCTGAGCCTCCTGAGGTTTGTGATAGCAGCTACACACCTCTGGGATTTCTGAAGCAGAGGCAGGTGAGCTAGTTATCTCTCTAGCTTCTATTTTCTCATCTTGTCAGGGGGAAAGAAGTGCCCTGAGGTCACTCTTTTCTTAGCTCAAACAAGGAAGTGGGCTCTAGGATTTCTTAACCTAATCCACACAGTTAAGAGCTACAAAGACTCCCTTCACTCTAAATCAGATTTAACACAGTGTAGTCTATGAGCACAGTTTCCCTTTTAGCTAAATTCAACTGCCAAAACACACAGTATCCTCATGAAAATCTGTCCTTTCATTAGACTAAATGTAATGTAAAACCAGCGTGGGCCTCTGGAACAGGACTGCTTCACCTCGTCGAGGCAATATTCACCACTTCATTGTTAACATCTTCCTTCAGCCACAAGAGTCTTTAAATCTAGTGGGCATGGAAAGACCAGAAAGAGAAGCAACACATGTACAACCAACTACCTCAACCTCAGAGGAGTTCTGAAAATAGTTCATTGAGGGTGCCACAATACTTGAGTGAAATGTCATCACCTGACAAAAATCACCTACTGCTCACATTCTGAGGTATTGTAAAGGTGTCATTACGGCACCAGTTCCATTCAGGGCAAAATAAAAAAGAAGAAATTGTTTATGACAGTGGGAAGTTCCATATTATAGCCTTAGAAATCTTAATCCAAACCTCAAAATACAAACTACAGAACAGACTTTTTTTCCCCTCCTCCCGACTGCAGGAATACACAACTAGAGAGCATCCAAAAGTCTACAGGCATTTCAAACTCCTTTAAAATGCTTTAAACATTTTAAAATTTTTTCACTCCAGTCATGAAAATTTGTTGCTATACTCACAGATATCATGAAGAAGTCAAACATTTCCAGACATTATACTAGTTTGAATACAGAAAATACAGAATTATAGCACTGAATGCTGCAGTAAGGTGAGGCAGGGGTTACCTGCCAACCCACTTCACTTGTTCTCAAACAGAACTAAGATTTTTGTAGGGACAAGTCACTCAGATCTGGGACTTCACGCACAGCAGGAAAAGGATGGAAATTCACATTCACTGCGGTCCAACCAGCAGTAGTATAACTGGCAATAAACACAACAGCTTCTAAGTTTAAAGCAAGAAGCTATTTGCTATGGCAAGAGCCAAACTGCACTCTCATACTTCACCATGGTTATACCATTTACACATATATCAAGTATTAATGTTCACCAGTACACGCTTTCCCAAATCATGAGAAGTTGCAAAAACGGTGCGCACAATTTGGAATGAAATTCAAGTATTTGCTAGTAGCCTCTCATGTCTGAACACAACTCTCTTCCACAGAACTTTTTGGATCTGCATATACCAAAAAGGATAAAAGGAACTGAGGCCATTTTTTAGTTCCGCAACACCTAGAAACCAAGAGAAGAACAATCACTGAAGGAATAAAAAAAAGGCTGCATTACAAAAAAACACCAGATGATCTACGGTGGGAAGTAGCAGAAACCCCTGAACTGCTACTTGCAACTGGGAAGTAAAACAGAAAAACCAACATGGGGAGTGTCTACCCTTGGAAGACAACACATGAATCCTTCTTCAAGGGTCTGAGCTACTGAGGCCACTGGAAAGGAAAAAAGCCTTAAAACACAGAAGTCAGAATAGACAGGAGAGTCCAAATTCGTTTTTTTCAAAACACTACTAGAATTAGAGACTTCTAAAAAATACACACCAACAAGAATACACCTTAGTCCTCTAAAAGAACTTCAAGCAGAAATTGAAAGGTAACATAATATCAAAAACTGATTAGCTGTTTTGAGCCTTTTTCAAATTTCCACCAGTTTATGCTGCTGCACACACAAGACAAACTCTGTCAAGAACTCTACTTCATTTGCACAGCAGCAGCAAATGACATACTTAGGAAAAAATTATATTTACTTTGGCCACTGTATTTCATAGAGAAAACTGTATTTATATTACAATATTAAACTGAATACTGAAAGACTGGAAAAATGTTACATTCATAATTATTTGTTTGGCCTTCAAAAGTGGCTATATGATACAGCTGAGCAGTCTCATTGCCACAGACAGATAGAGTCCAACTCCCTGCTCTCCTCGCTCCTGGCACACGGTCCTACACCATTCCTGGTCCTGACTGATGCTCATCTGATTGCGCAGTAAACTGACTTAATTTAATGGCTCAGCAGAAAACTATTCACTTTGCTGCCAGATTGGTGAACAGAGTTGGTTGCATTTGGTAACTGTAATTTTGTAACTGGCTGAATTGTCAGACACAAACTAGGTCATGGTGACTACTGATAGCAGGCAGCGA